TTTATAAAGTTATTTCCACGCATCGCGATACTAGAAGCATTCGAAATGATTTGACATTTCAGAATGCAACATGGATCTTCAAGTCAGGTATAACCTGACTTAACATGGTATGGCAATGTACTATAATGAAGCATTTGACAATATGTTTTCATATTTCTAGGAGAGTGTCATGTAAGCATAAACCGGAACACGAACATACATATGTACATATGCATGTACATATGTACATAGATACGGTATGTATAAAGATGCCACCGTCTCGTGTAATAGCATAGTAGGGCATAGTATAGCACAGTGAAGCACAGTATGGCAAAGCATAGCACAGTCTAGTATAATGCAGTATAAGTCTCGTCTAGTAGAGCAGAGTACAACATAGGATAGCACGGCATGGCATAGCACATCACAGCATAGTATGGCATGGTGTCGTTTCGTATCGTAGCGTATGTAGTATGGCATGGCATGACAGAGCGGAGTAGAGTAGAGTAGGGATGAGTAGGGCAGAGTCGAGTGCAGTACAGTATACTCGGCGGCAGGGACCTATGTAGACGAAACCCCACGCAAGCCTGTACCCTCTGCGTTCGACCGAATCCCGAGTTTGCCGCACGCTCCACCTCGCAGCCGGTATTTCAGGTGGGGAAGGCAGCTGGCTTCTGAGCGACTGCCCGGAGGCATGGGCTGCAGAGTCTCCAAGGGCTCAGAGCTAGGGTCTACAGGTTCAACCGTGTCGTGCGTTTTGGGATCAGTTTCAGGCTTTTAGGGCCCGAGTGTTAACTTGCTGGGGCTAACACTAGTGATAATAATACTATTGATACTGATAATATTAACTTTTGAGCTTTGTAAACGCTTTAACCAAACTAAACGCCCGGGAGGTCCTCAGCACCGGAGCGCCTGGCGACGGTCAGCTGCTGCCGGCGGAGAGGCGCCGCCAAAAGCCGGGAAGATTCGGGCCCCGGGGTCGATAAATTTGTAAGTCGAGCTTGGGCTTCGTAGTACGTTTTTTGTTGGGGTATTTTTCCTAATTATGGGATCCGATAGGGTATTTTTCCTAATTATAGGATCCGATAGGCTATCCCGAGAAGGGCACTAGAGTCTGGGGTTAGGTACTCCGTCAGTAGGTCATAGGGTTGAGGGTTCACGGAATGAACTCTGTAGACTAGTTTGTCTGGCTTCAGGACTTCCGGTTTAGTTCAGAGCTTGGCGGCTTCAGGCTTTCGGGATTTTGGGTTGAGAGCCTTAGGGTTAAGGGCTGATAGCGTTTCAGGGTTTCGAGCTGCTAGGTTTCGGGTTTTAGGCTTGGAGAGTTTCTGTTGGGGCTTGGGTTTCAAGCTTGCAGCCAGTTTGGGCATTTGAGGGTCTTGGGTTGCCGTGCTGAGAGGGCTTCAGGGCTTTGGCTTATAGGGCCTAGGGTTTCAGTCTTTGGGGTTCAAGAGGTAGCGGTTTGCGGATGGCTTTAGAGTTGTAGTGCTTTCTGGTTTTGGGGGTTCAGGTCTTTAGGCATTCAGAGATCTGTGGTTGGAAGTTTTCGATTCCAAGGACCCAAAGAGTTTTGGATTTTTGGCTTTTGGGGTTCAGCGCGTAGGGCTTTCAGGTTTGGGGCTATAAGCTGGTTTTGGTTCCTATAGAGCTTGACGGTTGTTGGATTTCGAGCTTTTGGGTATTTAGAGGGCTGGAAAGGTTTTGCTTCGGGCTTTTACGGTTGCTGTTTTTCCATGGATGATTTGGGGTTGTGGTTCTTCGGGTGGTTACGGCTTGAGGGTTCAGAGCTGTTCAGTTTTCGGGTTCACGGGAATAGTGGCATCGCTGTGGGCTTCTACTGCAATTAGCAGCTGCAAGCAATATGGGCGCCATCATAAACCATAAAAATACAATGGGCCCCGAAAACCTTATTCTGATAATTGAGGCTCCTAAGTAGCTTGTAGGGATGCTATTGCTGCAGCTGGTCTGATGAGGAATTCAAGAAACCCCAAACCCAGCGCCCGAAACCGGAAGCTAACCGTCGACCTCCGTTTTCGGGGATTCTCCTGTGGAGGTGCTGGGGGCCTGGAATCATGTGGACCTTGATCCCCAGGCCTACAACTTAGAATCTCCAAACCCTTGCTCATGGCATTGAGAACCGAAGTGGCAGGCTTTCCGGAGGCCGAGCCGATGGAAGCATGAACTTCAACCCCTAAGCCCAAAAGCCCTCGATCTCCGAAGCACACCCCTAAAATTGATTTTTAAGCCACACCCCAACCTCCAGGTCCCTGAGTCCCCAAGTCAACTGCAGAGGCCGCTCTTAGAGCAAATCTGTGGAGTGCTGCCCGGAGGCAGGCTCAATGCTGTTTTTTTCTGATTCAGGTGGGGCCTGTTAACTTCGAGACTTAAGGCCTCCAAAGAAGAGACCAACACCCCCGGCCTGAGCGCTGCAGATCATGTAGTTGGATTCTGGGATCTATAGGGCTCATCGTGGAAGCGCTTGGGGGTTTCGGAGCTTGAAGCATGGAGTGGTCTGTAACCCTTTGGGTTTGGGGTTCAGAGCTTGTGGCGTCTAGTTTCAGGGTTTCGTGTACTGTGGTTCGGAGCTTCAGGGCCACATGTACACATGTACATTTATGTGCATGCATGTAAACATGTATTCATGTTGATATGTTTATATATGTTTACATTTGTGTATGTTTGTATGCTTATATGTTTATATGCGTATACGCTTAGACATTTGTGTGTACAGAGGTTTTTATACCCATTTTATAGATATGTGCCTAAATGCATAATATATAGATATATGCTCGGTCCCAAGATCCACTGCAGCATTAGTGGTTCAACAGGCGTGGGATGCACGAACAACTCGTCCAAACTTTCCAATCCTACCTCACGAGAAACACTGCAATGCTCACCCATAGCAAAACTTTCAGGGTTCTGGCATCGACGGCTAGGTGGGTAAAATTAGGGTCCCTTTTTGGGCACCTTAAAGGTGCCGTATCATAATAGGGACCCAAAAAGGGACCCTAATGTTGACAACCACGCAGGTGGTGGGCGAGTTTCTTCGAATATATTGACATGTCTTGAGTTTTACACTGTTTTGTGAGTTTGCATTGCCGTGTTTGGCGATGTTCAGGACACGAAACGCGGTAATGCACAAAGAGTCAAAGAGTTACAACCTCCAACCCCTGGGGCCGAAATTCGGCACCAGATTTACACACATGTCAAACCGTGACATATCGCAGGGCGGTTTGCATCCACGTGCAGAAAGGCACGATCGTGTCGGTATTTACAGTGCTTTCGGCACATGTGCGTCCTGTGCACATATGTGGAACAAAACCTGTAGACTGTAGAGTTGTGGGGAAAAGGCGGCGGTGGATCCTGGGGTGTGGGGGCAGGTTGACCACATATGTGTGTATATATATATACACACACACACACACACATCTGAGAAGGACGGAGAGAGACAGAGAGAGAAACAGAGACAGAGAGAGAGAGAGAGAGAGAGAGAGATAGATAGATAGATAGATAGATATATATATATATAACACATATACACACATTTCTGTCGCTCTCTCCCTCTTTGGGTGTCTGGGTCGCGTATTCACAGCTGCAAGCAGGATCCTAAAGGACTAGTAGCATGAGTATCAGTATGGCCATAGTACGACCATTGCCGATTGACACCATTTCAGAATCAAGACGGCCAAATATATATATATATATATATATATATATACACGTATATATATATATATATATACATACATACATATATAAAAACTCCCTCATGAGTAAACGCTGGAAGACCCTGTAAGGCCGGTAGCGTAAACTCAGCCGACACACACACAGACATACACATGCACCCACGCACACAAGCACGCATATCCCAGTTGGACCCACCGGAACGGATGTACTATCCATCTATCAAGCCCTAAGCAAGCTGAAGTGTGTTGGGGTTGAGAGGTTCAGGATTGTGGTTGTCGGTTTCGAGGTTTGGATGTAGTGTTGAGGGTTTAATGTCGACATCCGTGTGGTTCCTGGCAGCGAGGGGTGTTGGATGCATTAGGGGTCGGTAGAACTCCTGGAAGGGTTTGCATGCTTCGGGTCAAAGGCGCATGGTGGCGCATGACTGTTTACTAAACGGGCTTAAGCTTCCCTAAACCCTAAACCCTAAACCCTAAACCCTAAACTCTAAACCCTAAACCCTAAACCCTAAACTCTAAACCCCGGTCCTTACATCCTTTGGGGATGCGCTCCCCTGGCCCCGAGGCTGGCGTACAGGAGCTCGCCTTACGTGCTACCGCCTTTGATCTTGTGGAAAAAACAACGAGCTCCTTGCGGACTTTTAGGGTTTAGGGTTTAGGGGCTATGGGTTGTCAAGGGTTTGATTCTGACGGCTTGAAACTGAATACACCGGACAGTTGGGCAACGAAGGGAGTGGAACGCTCGTTTAGATTCTTTTTGTCAGGGGTGTGTTTCAAGCCCCCGGTTGCGGCTGACGCTGTGCACCTTGAAGGTTGAAGCCTATAGAAAAGCTTGCATCACGTCGACAAGACCCTACATAACTTTAACCCTGATGTGTCGCCGATCTTCTGGTTCGAGGCTTGCTGATCCAGGGCCAGTTCTAGTGTGGGAGGTCACTAGCACCGAAATCTGGACAAACAAATGGAAAGGGCCAACCCTAAGGCTTGGCCTTAGCGGCCCAACATGGCAAGGGTTCACGGCGAAGGTAGACGCAGTCTCCGAAGGCTGCATGAGCACCTAACGACCTAGCTTCTCGAGTTTCCGCTACGCCGAGAAGTTTCAGTGTCGTCAAACTCCGAGACTCCGGCAGGTGGTTTCTTCTGGGCCAGGAGGGCTTACATGCCTACAAATGCAAATGAACTCAGGGGGTTCTAATCTCGCCAGTTTCTCAGCAATGCTATTACTTAACGTCTTGTGTTCTGATTAAACTGACGGTTGCTATGATATACCAACCAAACCCTATTCCGATTGCTAAAGTCCCGACATTATTTCATTCATTCGGCAGCCTGCTGGTCTAGGTTCAACTTGACCAACTTGCTTCCAAAGTGCCGACGGCTTGTTCGGGAGCAGTTGGGAAAGCAGAATCTGCCACGGCCCCAGCGAACCCCAAAGGCTGAATCCTGGGCCCCGAATCTTAGAATCGAAGAGAAAGTGTCTAGTCGTAGACCTGGAGGCGCCGAAGACCAGTGTTGAGCAAAGGGGGACTTCACAGAGCTCTAAAACAGCTTTGTATTCGGACCTTTTGTCGCAGATTCAGAAGGCTTACACCGCAACGCCTTCAAGCCTGAACCTCTAAAGCTTCGGCCGGCCCGAAGCAGGAGTTAGGGTCGTGGTCTTTGGTTTCCATGATGGGTTTACCCCGAGCCTTGATCCTTAAGCTTCGTGGATCTCACCTGAAGCTTATCGAGCCGCACATTGCTAGCACGAGTTCAAACTCTCAAGCCGACAGGAATATCCGATACCGAAGTCGGTGTCACCGTTTTCCACACGAAGAACCCAGCCCCCAAATCAACAGATCCGATTTCTAACTTAAAGTCCCCTGCCGTTGCAGAAACTCCTGTGGAATCAGACTTCGATTGAAGCCAAGAGCGAGTCTTAATATTTGTAGTAGCATGTCCGGGTATAAGACAGACCAAATGCCTCGCCCCTGTCTTGAACCGCCTACACTACGGCTTGTCATGTTTTGGGTTTGAGGCCAGCAGTTCATCATGGGCTGAACTCTAACTCCTGAGCCTTAACGCCGGAACCCTGTTCCCTGAACTGTGAGCCCCTTAAAATCTAATACAGATCCCTGATAAAGCTCATATAGAGCCCTTCAAGAAACTATTTTAACCTTGAGCGATTGGCCGCTGGGTCTCGTTGCCTCGTGTATCCGCCCTTTTTTCAGAAGGCACCGCCCTGTGCTGGGGCTTTTAGATGCGAGGCCTGGTGAGTCGGAAGGTTTGGGTGTCAAGATTCACGGTCGCGGGCTTGGGGTTGATGGCTGAAGGAATGAGGAGATTGCAGTTTCGACTCGGCTTCTTGTGGCAGGGTCTCTCTGGTGTCGCGCTGAATGTCTATAAGTCAGCCCTTGAGTTTCCACCTAAAGCAGAGCTGGGGGCAGGTATACTACAGTACGAATTCCGTGCCGTTGTTTTTCCTTATACGGCATTCAGACCCTTGTGTCTTTGTCTCACACCAAGGAGTTCGATCAACAATCACAAAAGCCTGATCTGCAAGAATGTCCGGAGCTTTGATTTCTATAACTCTATGACTGTCATTTCAATACTCAGGAGTCAATCGCCGATTTTCGACGACAACTCCGAAGCCCCGAAGTGTTTGGGGCGCCACAACTTCTCCACAAAACCAGGTCTGAACGGCACCTCCACAATCGCCTCCATGCGAGCGGAGCAACCCCAGCCGAAATATGGAGAAATTCCCGTATCGTTTGTGTTTGTGTTTTTGTTGCGGATTGTGCTTGGAGATGCAGGACAGCCCCAGACCGGAAGCCAAGGCTCAAAAGCCTAATTAAGCTCAACCCCCTTTGCACCTTGTCGTCTTCGCCATGAAAAGCCATGACCTTGACCGTCAGGCCGAGCTGTGCAACGGTGCAGGGCTCAACATCAAGTTGTTTTCAAGTGTTTCGGCATAGCTAGATGCCATGGTTTCGTCCGTCGCAGTACTGCGGGACTGAATCTTGGCAATGCGGCGAATCACATTGGGATGATGGTTCTCCCACGAACAACTGTATAGCAACGAGCTTCATCACCTTCATGCTTGATTCTAGTTTGAAGGCCTCGGGACGAAGAAGTGGGAGTGGCGGTGGCGCATTCTTGGATTGAGGGTGGTAGCCCTTCGACAGATCCTTCCTAAGACGCTGAAAGCCGGAAGCATAGCTTTGCGCCTTAAAACCATGTAGAAAGGCCCAAGCGTAAACCAAGGCAAACATTCAGTCCCGGCAACACTTGCGCAACATCTAACAGTGTCTGAACCATCGAGGCGCGCAGCCTTTGGCGTCCGTGCTCCCAGTAAGGGCTTAGGAAGCGTCGAGGGGCGTAGGGCATTAGACTGGCTTTGTTGTCATCCGGAGCGGTTTCAGACTTGTGGATCAGCACAGTGCTTGGAGGCTTTCCCGACTCTTCGTATGCGGGGCTTCAAATTTTCACGCTTTGAACTGGGGGTAGCCAGAGCGGATTGTTTCGATTGAAGGAGTGAGTCGTGACTCTTTGAGACTGGAGAAGCTACGCCTTGCCGCACAAAAAGCCCTGAAACGAGGCGCCCCAAGCACTACTTGTAAGTCACTAAGCCTTGCCTGGTTCCTTTGACCCGAAGAGCCGCAACGACAGGCATGAACCACCCTGAGAAGTGTGGACCAGAACAATCGGAGTGTCAGAGCGATTTGCCCCAGCAGAGCCGACACCTCAGGCCCTAGCCGCAGGCTTGTCGTAGTTCAGCCCCCTGCTCATGGACATCATCATCATCACCATCATCACCGTCATGCTTTGAATGAAAAAGCAGACGTGGGAGCACCGAGAAGAACTTACGATCAGGCAGCCCAGAGCCCGAGACCCTGCCCAGCGATGAGCAGCAGCCTGAGTCCATCCAGGGGACGCGGCTTCAGGTTCCTGATGGAGTCTGGAGTTCCGGACAACGTCTTGGTCAGGTTTGGGTTGTTCCGTGGTGCGTTCTACAGATGAAGGCAGCGGTTTATGGTGTCGCAGAGGCCTCACTCGAGCCTTTGATTTGAGATCCGCAGGCCCTGTAACTGGCGAAATCCAACAGGCCCTCAACCCAAAGCCCAACATCTTAAATCCTAACCCTTAAAGCCAAATCCCCTGAAGCCCCGCACGCCTGCTTTAAACTCCCCGAGCCCGCCACCCAGGCCCCCAGCTGACTCCAGAAAGGTCGAGACCTCGACCAAGTCTCTCTTCAGGGTGTAGGCTGCGGTTACTCATTCTGTTCAGGGTGTGGTTCTTTGTTTCTCCGCATGACGTTCTTCCTGTTCCTGCCTGTGTTCGACATGGCTGGCATCGGGGCCTTAGGGTGAGCCTCAGGTCTGCAGGGCTCGAAGGATGCATAGTCTCAAATCCCCGAAGCAGCTTTAACCTCTATGGCTGGGTTGAGGATGCGGGCGCAAGCAAGTCAAGTCATGGCAGAGCTTCGTCGAGGGTTTGGGCTTGCTGGACATTGCCTGTCCACGGGAATCCATGGCTCCGTAAGAGGCTTGTCCTAAACTGGCCCCGAAACATGGATTGGACATCGGTCATGCAACAGGACGTGATATTGAAGTAGAATCCATCACCCAGAGGTGAATGAACTACAGTCATCGCAAGCTTTCCGGAACAGACGTTTGACCGCCTCAATGCTTGACAGAGATGGATTTCATGCCGCCGCAAGTGTGAAGTCCACAGCTCCAGCATCTCCTGAAGCAAACCCTGCCAGTCCCCGATTGATTCTTTGGCCTGGGCTTGTGTGAGCAGTTCAGGCTCGGTTATCAATAAGATCCTGTTTAAACCTCTTTTGGAATCTCCGCAAAAGATCTTTGAAGACGGTTGGAAGCCTGAGAGGACTGGCCAAGTGGCGGTGGGGACGGTTGGGGAATCTTCTTCCTCCCGACCGGCCAAGCCTTAGTGCTGGGAAGCCCAGATTAGGGATTAGGGGTGTCACTGTGTGCCCTCATTCCAAATATGACATTGCCTTCACAAGACCCACTGTATATCTCTACTCACACGCACTATTCACATCCATATCAGTATATATATATATGTATATATTATGTTACATATCATATCATATATATATATATATATATATATTTTTTTATTTCATGTTATATGTTTCTATACAGTTATATAGAGATGGTAGATATAGACATAGATATAGACCCCCTTGAAAGGAGCTCCTAGACAGTGGCTTTGTCTTCGGGGTTTTGGGCAGCAAGGGAAGTTCCAGAGGCTCGGAATGAAAAGCTCTGCACATTTTCACGGACATCGGTTCCTGCATTCGTCTAGAGTCTAGATACGATGTTTCTGCTGATTCCATTAACAGCCACGCAGTCGGCTCTCTCCGTATGACTGGACTGCTGCCTCCTCTTCAGTCTCTTTCCTGCAGCAAACGCCTCTGATCAGCAAGTAGATTTCAAGCTCCTGTTTCTCCATGCTGAAGTGAGCCGTGGGTCCGGGTCCGCAGCACAAAGTTTTGTGGCTTAGGTGTCGGGGTCTCGTTACATGCAGGATTGACAGCTGAAGTGGGCACGCACGCTGAGTTTAGTGCATGATATCGGTTTCCAGGGAGTGTACCTGTATCTTACACGCGAATTCAGCCGAGGGCATCGCTTGTCAGAAACAATTTCCAAATCGTGAGTTGAGCTTGCCGCGGCCAATGGATCTGCCTCTGTGCGTGCAGCATTGGTTTGGGCCTTCTTCGGGTCTTTGGGTGAGCACTTCACTACTGCGATGCAGCCTTTTAAAGCTTTGGTTATACGCGTGTAAGGCCTTCGTGTACCTGCTTGTCAGTATGTGAGGCTTACTGCAAGTCAATGCTAGAAGCAGGAGCGCGTTGCGACAAACGGCCCTTGCGATGCTGGTCGACCAAAAACTCAGATCAACAGAAGAAGCTGGTTGGTTGAGCTTCCAAACGTAGGGTGCGCGTGTCAGGCTCGACGACGCAGCATATCGAGAAACGTCCGACTCCAAGAATGGGGATGGGACTGTCGGAGTGAGACTTATCCTTTCACATCGGGATTGTCAACGATCTCGAACCCCATAATTGCACCTTACACCCACAGAGTCTGGAGCCATGCAAATCCTACGAAACAGCCAGCCCTGAACTGTATGCACCACGACGCCGGCTGTTTCAGAAGATGTTGGACCCCGGTAGACATTGAATTTTTCTTGGTGGCTCGACCCCTAATCAAAAGGCATCCGTAAACCTTTACAAAGGCTCCAAAGCCCTTTGACCAGGTTGGCTCGAGGGACGCTCTTGGACTTGCAGGAAGGGGTCTGCACTTCTTGCTGTTGCTTGCTCTGCAGGGCGTTCCAGGTGTAGTGGCGAGTAAGGGTATGTAGTGTTAGGTGCGACAATGAACCAAAAAACACATCAGGCAAGAATCTGCTTTCAATGAGAAACATGGACAATAGGTATTGGGCTTTAGCGACAGCCTGCGATGAAAGGCTGAACGCATGTTCATCAGGTTCTTTGGAAAGGTACACACGTACAGCAAGCGGATTGGGGTCATTAGTGCAGTCAGAAAGCCGGGCAAAAGCAGTGCTGTCAAGCTTCCAAATGCATCTGGGCGTCCGATGAAGCTCCAAACCCGAACCCGACAACTCGAAATCTTAAGCCCATGCGCCCGAGCGCTACGACATAAACCTTAACCCTCCAAGCAAGCAATCCTCCAACGGAATTCTGGCTTTGCCTTTTCGTTTCTTGAGGCAGGAAAATGGGAAGCTTCAGTCTTGGGATTTGAGAAGCGCGGTGTGGTGAAGATCTTGTAGGGGAAGCCATGTCGCGGCCGGTGCAGATAGGCCAAATTGCGAGACACCCAAGATGTCGATGCCTTCGAACTTAAAAAATCTAGCAACGTTCTCATATTGAGCCTCTCTGTGGGGCAATACCACAACCAATGTTTAGTTTAGCGCGAAGGACATCGGAGTTCCTCAGAAAGATGAGGACTCGACCATGCTGGAGGCATCGGCACGCGAGGATTCAGGCTTCCAGACTGAGGGCTCACATTGTACACAGTTTTAACAACAAGGTCAACGTTTGAGAAGTCCGGCTACGTAAAACTTGCAAACGTGCTATCGCATGCCAAGACTCAAGAAGCCGAAAGACGGGTATGATCATGCTGCCGGGCGTCGAGAGTACGAAGGAAAGGCATAGTCAGAGTCGTTATGACAACGACCATGACGGTAATGTTGCTCCTCCGACGTCCTCCTGCTTCTGCTGCTACCGTTGCAACCGATACTTTTCATGCTACTTGTGCTGTAACGCTGTAACTGCTGCTGCTGCTGCTGCTACTGCAGTTGTTTACTGCTACCACTCTGTTCAAAGCTGCTGCTGCTTCTGGTGTTAGTACTGTCCTCGTTCGTGCTACAGCTACTGGAACTGCCGCTGCCACTCCTGCTGCTGCCACTCGTATTGGTACTGCTACTCGTATTGGTACTGCCATTAACCTACTCGACTACACTGCTTCTACTAACTACAACTGCCAGTTGGTTGGATGAAGTGATGAGTCGGCCATCTTGACAGTCATAAGGGGTTGTTTACCAAGCACTATCGTAAGCGCAGTACAACTTCCACTATCCGTCCATGCTGACTACTCTGTCGCGTGGTGGTAAGGCAGCAGCAGCACTAGACAATACTTCATGAATCCACGAAGCCTTTAACCCCTCAACCCCAAGCTCTGAAACTCTCTTTGCTACGCAAACTCGATTGGCTTGATTCCAATGAGGGCCTGATCTGATGCCTGTCCTCATACCGGTCATTGCCAGTATACAAGACATGATCGTTCCGTTGTCGTTTCACATGCGCTTGCTGCATCGGATGGATTATTCGGAGATTTTCTCGGTCTTGGAGGATGGTTCGGCTTCACGTTCTGCTTGTGATCTTGCTGCAGAGCATTCATGGATTTTTAAAAGTACCTGGTTGTCATTTCCGGGCTCAGTTTTCAAGTTGTAGCGTGGTTTTGCCTTCTTTGATTTGCGATGAAGCAAGTAGCTGGTACAAGGAGCGGTGCCCGTGTGCCTCAGGACCACATGCGGAGGATGCTTGCAGATAAGGCCAGGGCCGCACCGCTTCGTGAGAATTACGGAATACACTGCTTCGTGGGAATTACAGAATAGGTTCCTTGACGGGGTTAGTTGCTGGCATTCATTTGGCTCGGCATATCACGGTGTCATCTTAGTACGGGGGGGGCGAAACTGTTGCCATGAGTAGTCTGTTGACTGCTGTCGTCCTTTTCAAAGCCATGTCACGCCCGAGAACCTTCAGCCCTGAATCCTCGATCCTGGAGCCGTCAGCAGCTCCCTAAGCCTTGCGAGGGGTGAGCATTCCACTTCCGGCCAGGAGAGCTGCGATGTGTTGCTCGTGCGATGCTCAGCGATTTCATTGCTTGTTCTTCCGTCTCGACTTCCGCAAGCGCTGTGAGTCACTGAGGTTGTTTAGGGATGTGCGGCTTTGCAAGTTGTGTCTCACTGAATTCAAGCAAAGACTTTGGGGCTTAGTGTTTGGAGGGGCTCCGTGTGCTGCAGTACCAGGGCCTCGCGACATCGTGCGAGCGTCTGAAAGGCCCAAGTCTTGGATGACTTCAATAGATGGAAAAGGTACTGGTTTAGGGCCTTAGGAGGCCCACTAGGTCAGAGATACAGTCTTCTGAGTCTTCTGTCATCATACACGGCGGAAGCTGCCGTGGAGTATACAGGCCGGTACATATGCAACTCTGTGCCCCGGCGCCCGAAGCCCGCTTTAGTTGGGGAATTCGGGGAATCTTTGTGAAGCTCGGGGCCAAGCTTTCCAAAACCAAGGAGCTTCGAAAAGCAAAGCCCTCCCAAACGCATCATAACCTGTCTCTGCCAGGGTCCCTAAACCCGAATCCTGAACCCAGATTCCGAGATCCGAACATGTCCCAGGCGGCGGGAACAGACGCCTCGGAGGAGGCTCTTGGGGCCCACCTGGGCATGTTTAGGCGCTTTGGGTTCTAGGCTCTTAGGGTCCACCAAAGCCGTGATAATGGGAGCCACATATGTAATTCTTCAATGCTCCGAGTCAGACTCCTAAATCAGACCCTATATGACATACAGCTCATGTAGACTGTCTTGCCTATATGAGCGGGCAAGCCGAAACTCTTGATCCCCAGAGCCTTCTCAGCCGTGCACATGCCCCCCCCGTCTAGAGATTGGAGTGTAGAGGCTCATTGGGGTTTGGGTTGGGATTTGGGCTCCTCACAAGCCCATCCTCCTAGGCCATCAATTCCAGCACCCTGCTTGCAAAAGCCTAGATCCCGGAAGATGAAAGTCCGAACACATGAACTAGGCTCCTATACTCAGTTTGGCCCACAAGCACCACATCTTTGTAACAAAAGCTTGAAGAGTCTAAAGCTTGCTACGGGACAGACGGGAGCTATCTGCACTTAAACATGAGCCTCCTGGTGACAGTGACTTCATAATCGTAAAGACGTTGCTCTGAGGGGGAATCGCGCAGGTAGCCTCAGTGTTGACAGCAACGACGCCTACAGGAGTGAAAGCAGTCAAACTATCAACCACCGTCGTCAGAGGCACAGAATGAAGCTTTTGTGCCTCGAACCGATAAGGTTGCGGCCCACAAATGTGTCCTGGCCAGCCGTGAGAGCCTTGGCTTTGGGGTTGCAGGGACCTGGTTGAGGTTTGAATGATCCGGGTTTAGGCTTAGCAAGATGATCATCGGCTGGAGCTTTTCAAGCTCAGGGTCTTTGGAGACAAATGATGCGAGGTAGATCGCCGTGCAAGATTTTTGTTCGGCGGGCTATCGAGTCCTTAGAAGTAGGAGCTGGGGACAGGGACAGTGACCGGCTTGGTTGAAGATCAAGGGCTCGCACCTGCAGTACAGGTTTGTCTCGCCGTACCGTATTGCCAGGCGTTATTCTTCTTGTCTTTCGGTGCTAATAACTTCGCGTATCGTGAAGAGTTGACAGTGGTGCTTCCACCGTGAACCTCTGGCACTTGTTCTTCTCTTCAATGTGGGAGGTTCGGGCACTTGCAGTGCAGAGCTAAACACTTTCCGACTCCCAGACAACTGAACTCCTCATGACACCTAGTTTGGCAAGAAACTTGGAACCAAAGCTCTAAACCACTTGACTCGACTCTTGAAGCCTGAATTCCCGGAGTCAGGCACCTCCATTTTAGAGACCCCCCCCCCAGGTTCCTCCTACTTCCGTGCCTTGTTCTCCTCGGAGTTTCGCGAGTCAGGGGCTGAGTTTGGAGGGCTTTGAGGGTGGAGGGCCCATGGTTGGGTTACCGGTTTAGGTGCTTAGGAAGTTTGGAGGACGAGGCAGAGGGGCCTTGGAGCTTCCGACACCGGGTTTCTGAAGTCTAGGGTTTAGGGTTTAGGGGTTTAGGGTTTAGGGTTCTAGATGCTCGTCTTGTAGGTGCACTTAGGTATGAAAGTAATCATGTAGATGTAAGTACATATACACACATAGATTTGGCGTTTACGGTCATGTCGGGATATCATTCTTTGTAGCTATATTGTAGACAAGAGTACAATGTGTGATGCTCTCTCAGTGTGCAGCCACGCACAGATAAGCTGTGTGTGTATATGTATTTATACACACACACACACACACACACACACACACACACACACACACACACACACACACACACACACACACACACACACACACACACACACACACACACACACACACACACACACACACACACACACACACACACACACACACACACACACACACACACACACACACACACACACACACACACACACACACACACACACACACACACACACACACACACACACACACACACACACACACACACACACACACACACACACACACACACGCACGTATATTTCACAGAGGCACCCTCTCGACATACCATGACGAAAATCCACACTTGCGCATCGGCCCAGCCCAGACTGCTCGAAACTACAGTTTTTGCAGCTGCTGGGGTGCGGGGTTCGTAAATATGCGCACAGACAGAAGCGTGACTCAGCATCTGCACATCAACGTCAATGCTTCTAGTACCACATATATACATGCATGAATGCATGCATGCATACATCACGGTTCGATTTAGGGCCTCTTGTTTAGGTTGCATATGGTTGTCATGCAGGGGTCATCGCTCTCATGCTAAGTCGGGGTTCAAAAACAAGTTGTGCCAGCTACCCTTCGACTTTTTGCCCGGCCGAGATTACCGAGTACGAGCTTGATTTGTCCAAGGTCCCAGTGCATCAATGTAATCCAGGAAGGCACAAAATTCATCAATGGCGTTCTTTCTGTACTGCACTCGGCAAGACCTTACCTGTACGCGAAGGCATCGGTTGGCAGGTGAAGTACGCGCTCCCTGTCCGGCCCACATGCTTATATTTGCCGCAACGATGGTCCTTGTGATGAACCCGAAATGACATGTCTATCTTGAAAGCGGCGCCTCGTTCGTTTGAAGTGAGGAGGCTATGTTGACAGCCTTAGTTTTGAATCAGTTTTTTGAGCCCCAGAAAAAGAGCGAAGCCAGCTATGTAGTCCAGACGGTTGGACTTCGGGGCAAGTTGGACTTGATCCGAAGCTGAGCCCATGGACCCTAAACAAACACCTTCCACAATCCCAGCCTAAACCCTTAGCCGAAGCAGTTCAATCCCAAATTCAGGCGGAGCGAAGGCAGAGTGCTGCTGGAGGACTGCTTTGCTCAGGTCTTTCACCCACTGTGTGCTCGGTTCTAGGAAGTTGTCGGGCCTAGTTCGTTCAGGTGCTGGGATTATGGATGGGTTCCATTGCCTAGAAACTTCATGGCTTGAAAGTTCTAGTTTGAGCTTTCTTCACGCTTGGGAGGTGCAGGAGATTCGGGGGCTGCCATTGAACCGCAATTGCTGTTGTTGGAGGGTTCTTCTCCTACGTCAGACTTATGACGAAAGCAGGGACCCTTCAAGAGCTCTCATGGTACCGAAAGCCCTTTGTGGTATGTTGTGCACTCTTTCAATGCAACAGCTTGGTCTTCTCCTCCTTCGATCTTGGAGGGAGGGTCAGGAAGGCCGCCTTGTTGCCGTTTGTGTGATGCCCTGGCTGCGAGACTCTAGGCGCGGTGCCTTTGGCACTTTGCTCTGGGGTGTCCGGGCAACATGTCCTGAATCCAAGGAGCCAGTTTTGCACCGGAGGCTTCGGTTCATGATCCCTAGCCCAAAATCTTCAATCTTTGCCGGGCTTGGCATCGACCACTGTATGTTGTGCATTGGGCGGGGCTCGGTTACCACAATATGTGCGGCTTTTGAAGCTGATCAACTTGGGAAAGAGAAGCTCCGATGCTTGGAGCCATCAACATCCAAATAAAGTGGGCTTCACACAATGCCCACAGTTTCAATCAGCTTCCAAGCTTGCGCAGGCAGTGCCGGCTGCCGCCACAACTCCGAAGTTTCCACGTAAACGCGGTCTATGATATTGAAGGTACCATGGTAGGTTTTCGCAAGCGGCACATGCAGAACATCTAAGCTGCATTCCTGGTTTGGGGTGTCGAGAGAAAGAAACCTGACCCCTTCACGGCCCAGTAAAAGTCAACTCTTCAACCAGCCTGAAGACGAACATGGTGGCAGGACATCAGCTTCGAGCAGTTAACGTACCTCCTGCATTTCATTTATGCAGATGCCTTGAGCTCAGTTCCACTTAATTTGGTTTAGGTAAGTTGGCCACGCAGGGATGAGTAGTAACTAGGCTCCTGGCAGCAAATTGTCTCCCTGGCATCGTCAGCCACATCGAAAGCGTATCCATCATCCCCGAGCTTGCCTCGGGTTTCTGGTCCCTGCACCTCTTTTTGCAAGAAAGACGGAACATGGCCAGTTCTCTGCATCAGGGTTCCTTCAAACACCGCGCGACTTGTGGATTGGCCAATAAACTTTCCCTGAGGACTGGTTGGTGGAGGACCCGGAGTTTGCCTTCGAGATGATTCCGATCGCAGACCGCTTTTCGGTGCAGAGCTCGGCTTCCGGTTCGGGTGATGGTGACACCTCAACAAAAGCCTGCCAGAGCGATGACTCCAATGCGAGTACGGCTTTGGCTTGGCAGGCTTCTGGCAGCGTCAAGCATTCCTTTTTCAGGGCTGGTTCTTGCCGCCCACAGTAGAGTTCTCGAACACCAAAACCAGCTTCCACGGTGCCGCAGAATCCGTTCACTGCCATTTACGTGCCTAGTGAGACCCACCCTTCCCCCCATCGCAAACCTGGAGGCTCACGTCCTTGACAACCCCTAAACCCTGAGAAGGAAGGGGAAAGGGCCCTCAGGGCTAAACCCAAGGTGCTCGATCTTAAGCGGCTTTGCGAGCGGACGCTGATCTGCGTCACCTCCTGAGTTGTCTCTTCTGCTTTTCCGCCGCTAACTTACTAACAGCCTTGTAGAATTGTAGGACTACCCTCTTATGTCGATAATCAGTCCATGCCATCGCTTTTTGAACAGTGTATGACCAAGCGCCTTCGTTCTTTCATTTTGTGCGCGCGCGTGTTTGTTTGTGCGTGTGTGTGTGTGTGTTTGTGAGTGTGTGTGGAACTCTGTTACTGAGAGTCAGCAGTGATTTCGCATGCTGTTTGTCGAGATAGCGAAAAGAACAAGTTTTCCACTCCAATGTTTCAAGCAGCTGGGGGCTGAAGGCCCGTCACTGGTACCTCAGCCAACGAAGACTACCAGTGACAAGGCGTGGAAACATACCTGCAAAACAAAGGGGGGGAGAGCACCTGGGTCTTCGTGACAGCTGGTGGCCCTGATGAGGAACTCCTGGGTCCGTCGTGGCAGCTGGAATCCTCACCCCTTACGGCAGCCCCCTGTGGTGCCAAGATTAGGAAAATCGATAGACCCCCTGTGGTGTCCAGATTCAACTGGTGAGCCTTGAGTCCCGATTGGTTCCGGAACCCCGAAAGCTTCATGCTTTCAAGATACAAGAAGCATGGCTTGACAAAGGCTGCGAGATGGATGACCATGTGTGTGTGTGTGTGTGTGTGTGTGTGTGTGTGTGTGCGCGTGCGTGTGTGTGTGTGTGTGTGTGTGTGTCCATGTCGGGTGGGGCTCGCAAGGCTCCTTGACGTATGACTGTCCGTGAAATCAAGAATTATGCGTGAGGAATGTACATGTACATTGGGGGGTACAGTGCTACAAATCGTATTCCACTTCAGTACAGTTGTCTTATGCTGTGTCCTGCTACGCAGTGTTATGTTGTCTTCCGTGACGGTAGGGTTAGTTATGATATGTCACTTTGTGTAGTATAGTACTACAAACCATAGCATGTTGTTTTGGTTGCATGCAAGAAGTCCCTTTGCCAACGTGCGATTTTTGGCTTGGCAGTACGGCCTAGTGACACGTAGTGGCACCATGAACCGCGGATGCTAGTGTAACCCCTGAAACCAGTACAATAAGACACATCAGCAACAAAACAGAGATTCGGAGTATCGGCAGTTATCAACCGCAACTAATTGGCAATACTACTAGCAAGACCTGCTACATCATATGATTGATATTGGCATTATGAGACCCACTAAAGACACTGACGTCATGAGTGATAACGGCACTGACACTGACAGAACGTATTTTTGATGCTCCCCACTCGACATGCTCGTCGCAACAGCAGAGTAATTAGTATAGCATGGGAAAACATGCAATGGCAAGCATGACATGCCATAGCATACAATGAAACATAACATAACATCCAGATCGCATGACAGCACAGTAAGAGCACAACATACCGTATCACAAGCAGGACCATATGATTAAACCAGCAAAGCAAAGTATACGATGCCATGTTCTATTCCAAAGAGTATATAACACTATGACACACAATACACACAATACAGCGGCATGCTAGAGTATGACATCAAAATAACACCAATCTCAGACCCGCAACCATCCTTTGTGCCTTTTCGTGCAGAGGTCTTTATGCAAGTGTTGTGTGTTGTGGTGCCTGCACGACAGAGCCAGTATCGCTGACCGGCAGGGGCCTAGTGCAACAACGGCTTGTCAAAAGGTCACAAATGCTGCAAGATTTGGAGTTCACAGTGAACTCTTCCAGAAAGTTTCGAGGCCATCTTTTCAGAAAATGCTTCTATGCAAAGACTAATATTCCCAGAGAGCCTCAGTGAGAATGCCCAGTCTCAACTTCGAAGCCATCGTATGCTTTACTGAAGTAGTGTAATTTGCTTCCTAGTCGATGTCCGTGGCGAACGTCGCGCGCATCTTCTCAATGGCGGACAGGTACTCCTGCACCAGGCCATTGCATCAGCATACCAAGGGAACGCGTACATCCAGACTCCAGTGCTCACAATTATGCTGCTCTAAATCCCTGTAGTATCCTTGCAGAGCTGTAGAACCCTTAAAGGAACCCAAAGACGGACGAATGCAAAGGACCTCTGAAGCATCCTCCGATGTCTTGCAAAACCCTAGACTCAGATGCCAAGCATCGCAAATAAAAATCCGTGGACCGGTGTAGGTTTGGGTTTTAAGGGTTTATGGTTTTGGTTCGCGGCAGGGATTGCGGGTTTTCGTACTGGCCAGCTACCCCTAGGCTTCCAAGTTTTGACGAAGACAACCAAATCTCTCGGAGTCCCGTTGCGCAACACACTGTAAGTTCCTAAATCTCCGAAAGATGACTTAGAGGTCCGGGCCAAAGCCCAACGGAGGGATGAAGCCCTCAGCCCTGGATTCATCTACATGATTGCCCTGATACCTCCAACCCGAACCGAAAGGCAAAGGCTTCGGCCATTGCAAAATGCTGATGTCAACAGACCAGAGATTTTTCAGGCTTGGGGTTCAGGTTTAGGGCAATGACCGGTGAAAGAGCAGAATTTGCTTATGTAGAGAGCGGACTTCCACAAGCCTCCGCCAGCAAAGTTGAGATCTTGAGCTTCGGGTGGAGGGGCATTTGGGGGTTCAGTGTTCTGGGTAAGTTTGTGGCTTTAGGGTTTGAGGTTGGCGCGTTTCATGTTTGCGGCGCGGTTACGGTTAAGGAGTTTAGGGGTCTGGGAGATTCGGGTGCGGCTGTGCGCGGGTACAGGATTTAGATAAAGGTTTGGGCTTTTCGGTTTTGGGGTTCAGGGTTTCGCTTTTGGGGATTCTGCGGTTTAGTTATACTTGAGGGCTGAAGTCTACGAACCCAGAGACGCCAGCAAACGCTAACTGACAATCGGGTTGAGTAGGGCTGCATACAGCACGCCTCAGAGCTCAAAGCTGAAGGCAGAAGGCGGTTAAAATGGCGAAAACGCGACCAGAATCGAACGCGAGGCCCCGAGTCAACTAAAGACGCGAAGCTGAAAAGCCTGGCACCCTGAACCCTGAAAGCTGGAATCCCCGCAAACACGAAAGTCCTGATCAGGGCCCTGGACCTGAAATCCCGAAAGCGAGGCCCAGCATTCAACAACCCCGCAAGCTTTTGCCATGCTTTCGAGTCCCCGAAAGTCCTCCTGTCCTTTCGGACTCTGACAACCCAGCCACTAGATTCCTACCCTACGAAGCCTGACGAAAAGACTTAGAGTCTGAGACACTCTTGAGCACTTACGGCTTATGGGCTTCCTAACTTCCTGGTTCAAGTGCTGCACAGCCTGAACACGGCCCTGTAGAGAGAAATACTTTCCAGGCTGAGAAGTCGTGCGCTGTTCTTCATGACAGACACGGCGAACTTCCACTCGGTGGCTCGGCTGCGGTGTAAATCTCGTTGGTGAGGGCTTCACTGCTCGGGCGGCTAGAGCTCCAAGCTCTTAGACTAGCTAAGAGCCCAAAGCGCTGCATGACTGGAGCCATGAGGGCCGGAAGCCCTCAGACATCTGATCCCTACAGTCTTTCAACTCATGAGCCGAGCTCAAGCGAGTTGAGAACACGCACACCATGCAAGCAGGGTTGGAGGGTCGGAATGTTTAAGGCGGGTTCTGCACTGAGGGTGAAGCGGTCTAATGAGTGGGGTTCTGGGATCGGGATTTGATAGGATGTAGGCCTGTTTGGCCGGGTTCTAAGTCCAGGTCCAAGGTTGAACTTGTTTGACGGAGGGATCTGGAGCGTTCTAAGCTAGGAGCTGTTCCCTACACGCAAGCCTTCGCCTGCGCTACCTGTCTGGCCTCTTTAGGAACCCCCCCTAACAACGATCAATGAGTCTCGAAGGCTTCAGCTCAAGCCCAGAAACAGCAATCTCCAACCCTACAGGACCCTAAGTGTATTGATCCTGGGAGTAGAGTTATGAGAACCGTAGAATAGGCGTGTACGAACTCTCTAGAAACATGACATTAACCGAAGAGCAGCTTTATGTAAATCGACTTGAACTGACTTGAACAGCCTCATTAAGAAAACCACCCTCGAAGCCTCGAAGTGAGCCTATGTTATGGAACCGTATCTAGAGCTGACATCTGCAAACTGGAAGCCATTGTCGAGGTCATGAAGACCGCCACCTTTGCAGAGTTGGACAAGGCGCTGCCGAAGAGAAAGCCCAACTGGATCCTGAAAACTAAGGGAATAACTGAATAGGTTCAAGCTGTTCAGTTTTCATAGAGTTCAGGACAGAACTCACCGGCTCGCTGTCTCCGCTGCTCGAGGTCTTAGCAATCGTCATCTTACTTGATCCCAAAATCTGTTTCAAAATCTGTTTGCTGGATGTCTTGATCAGGTAGGTTGTGAAAGCTTGAACTCACGCAGGTTTGGTCCTTGGAGGAGAGAAGTGGAACCACTGATTCAACCCTACTGGAAGCCCTAAACCCGAAACCAGGCCTCGAACCAAACTTCAACTCCCCTGAACCCTAAACCATTGGGCCTGAACTTGAAAGCCAGCCAGATTATCATGAACCTGAACCCTGCATCCCAAAGCACTTAAAAAGCCGGTCCCTGAAGCCCAGGGTGAAGCGCCTAAAGACTGAATCCCGAAAGCCTAAACCCTAAAAGCTGTCAGCCCTAGAGCTTTCATCCAGGTTCTGATCCTGGAGATCTTACACAGCCACAAAGCCGCTCCAGTGCTCGGGACCCTGGCCTTAGGAGGGTTTGGAGGGATGTTAGGGTTTAGGGAAAACGGGCTTAAGAGCCTTCTCGTTTTGGGGTGTAGGGTTTTGGGACACTCCCGTAGCATGTAATGCGGGTTTTGGTGTCTGTGGGTCTGTGGGTTTCGGATGTAAGGGCTTCTGAGTCTGGCAAGGGGGCGTTTGTTGCTTTTGTTTACAGGTTCAGGCTCTGTAGACTCAGAACTCCTATAGAGAGGGCGTCTGGTGCGGGGGTTTAGGATTGCGTGCTTGTGAGTTGCGGGCTTCGGGATTTCAACTAAAATTTAAGATCTTGGAGCTTCGGGTTTAAGTGCTGCAGAGGCTTCTCTTGAAGGCTTCGGGATGGGGGCTTTCGTGGACGTCAAAAGAACTTGCAAAGGACAGGTCGCACCGATTCTCATAGAGCAAATGACAGTGTGTACAAGCTTCGTCAGTCTTGTCCGTCGATCTCTAGCTTCACATTTCTTTTTCATCCAGCTGTGTCTCGGACACGTTTTGGGGCATCTTGGAGGCATGAATGCCTGGATGTGGTGCACATCCACAGGACGGTATACAGCAGATGCTGCAACGCACGCATACAATCTGTGAAGAGCCACCTTAACTACATGAGGTTGGAAGTAGTGAAGCCTGCACCATGGTCCCGAACCAAAGCAGTGCAGGCCTGAAGGCTTTCGAGCTGGACCGTAGGATGGTACTTCTGAGTGACGTATCTACATTGTTTGAGGTCCGATTCCTTTCTGTGTGGTACATGAAGTGTGCGCTTGCATGCCTGTACAAGCCTCCAAGCTGGTTGCTTGGGGCTCAGGCCTACAGTTAGAGCACACGACGATTGCAAACATGTTACCCTGCACTAGATGGCAAACCGCACTCTAATTCTGAAGC